AGAAACAAAGATCCGAGTATCACATGTTCTCACTCATATAATGGACCTTGAAAATCCAATGTAATACTATAAGAAAATGACTGGCGGTACTGGGAAACTACGGGGGGGAGGGGGATGGGATTAACAGTCGCAAATATCTGTCTGGGGATGAGGAAACACCTCTTATCAATAGGGTGCCTGAATGAAACGTAATTGTACACCTAACCTTTAACTGTACCCCACAAAATCATAATAAAAAATATTGATTAAAAAAAAGACTGATTTAGAGGAAGATGAGGAGCCTGCCTCATTCTCAGGACCTTCTATAAAACTTGCCCCATTCTTTGCTAGGGGAGCAGCTTGATCATCCTTTTGGTCAATGCTTATCTCTTTTTGTTCAAGCAAGAAGCCCTAATCAGGCGTTGCCTGTGTGTTTTTAGCTTCAGCTGTGCTTCATCTCTGGGCTGAAAGGACTCATCAGCCAGTAACAGTATTGTATTAGATTTCTAAACTAATTTGTGAAAGTTTAAAACTTTATTATGTGAAGTAATTCTATCCATGAACTATATCTCTCATTTATTCCTTACCTAAAGCTTTTATTTGAAAAGATCTTGTGAATTCTTAGTTAGATGAATTGCTAGATACTTTGTGTTGCTTTTGAGACTAGTGCTTTATGTCTTTCCTTATTTTCTGATTAGCTATTACTCCTTTATATAGGTTGATCTATTGCCAACTACTTGACAGAATTCCCATGTTAGTTTTAATATTTGGATTATGTTGGGCTTTCTATGTAGACAATCCATCATTAACAAATAATAATAGTTTTTATCTTTTCTCTTCCAATTCTTCTACTTCTTACTTCATTTTCTTGTCTTTTAACATTTTTCAGGACCTGCAGTACTATTTTAAACAGTGAAAATAATAATGGGCATCCACACATCTTATTTCTAATATTTGTCTAAATGCCTTAAAAATTTTTCCTTTAAGTACAATGTTTACTTCATAAAGCTTTTATTTCATGTAGGTAGTCCTCTTTTACTCCTAGTCTGAGTATCATGTGAATAAGAGTTGAATAATACAATTCTTTTTCTGCCTTTAATGAGTTTTATTTCCCCATTAGTCCATTAATGTGATGAATTACCATAACAGATTTTCTGGTGTCTAACCACCATGATTTTAGTTTATGTTTAGTTTACATATCATTAGCTAAAATAAGATTTTTACGTCTATGTTTGTAATTAAAATGGGCTTATTGAGCTAGGTGTAATGTAGTCCCAACTACTGAAGCTGGAGAATATACTTTGAGCCCAGGAGTTCAAGTCCAGTCTGGGTAACATAGAAAGACCCTAACTCTGAAAAAAATAAAATAAAAAGGGTTTATAGTATTTTATTATATTATATCACTTCCAGTAAAAGAGTTAGACAGCTCTCTTTTAATGTTTTCAGAACCTGTTGTATATAGGACAGAGATATTTGTTCTTGAAAATTTAGTTAAAACGTACTCATAATATCTTCTTAGTCTGAAATTTTCTTTGGGTGGGTGAGGGAAGGGGAGCAGTTTGTTTTTGAGTACCATTCAATTTATTTGTTAGTTGCCAGTTTATTTAACTTTATAATATCTTCTTGTGCCAATCTTAGTATTTTATATTTTTTCAGAAGTTTAGCTGCTTCACCCAGATTTTAAAAATTAATAATATAACTTCATAACACTTATTTTAAGAGTCTTTTTCTTATTTGTAATTGTTTCCTTTTTTCATCCTGCTATTTATTTGCACTTCTCATTTTTTTGTGTACAGTCTTTCTATTATATTGATGTCATCAATGTTTTCAAATAACTAGCTACTGAGTTAACATATGTTCTCTTATCTTTTGCTTAGTTTTCTTTCTTATTGTCTGTGTCTCATATTGTCTCAACTTTATTGATTTTGCCTTAATTTTTATTGATACCTTTCTTCATGTCTCTTCAGGATTTTCTCCATTGCATTGCACTGTACTCACTTTCCTAAATTCAGAGTTTATTTAGTGACTTTCTTTTTTTAAATTTAGTTGACAAGTAGAAATTATACATATTTATGGTATACAATGTCGTGTTTTGATATATGCATATATTGTGAAACTGCTAAATCAAGCTACTTAACATATGTGTTACCTCTTATACTTACCGTTTTGTTGTGAGAATGCTTTAAATCTACTCTTTTAGCAATTTTCAATTATGTAATATACTGTTACTAACTATAGTTGCCATGATGTACAATAGATCTCTTGAACTTATTCCTCCTAACTGAAATGCTGTGTCCTTTGACCAACATCTTTCTAATTCTCTCACTCCTCAGTCTCTGGTAACCACATTTCTGTGTGTACAACATTTTATGATTCCACGTATAAGAGAAATCATGTGGTATTTATTTTTTTGTGCCTGGCTTGTTTTACTTAACATAATGTCCTCCGGGTTTATATATGTTGTCACAAATGACAGAATTTTCTTCTTTTTAAAAGATTAATATTTTACTGTGCATATAAACCCATTTTCTTTATCCATTCATCTGTTGATGATAGTTAGTTTGAGGCTATACCTTGCAACTATGAATAATGTTACAGTGAGCATGGAAGTAAAGTGTAGATATCTTTTTGGCATACTGATTTCATATCCTTTGAATATATACCAAGTAGTAAAATTGCTAAACCACATGGCAGTTCCATTTTCAACTTTGGGGGCTACTTACATACTGTTTTCCATAATAGCTGTATGAATTTGTTACCAACAGTGTACCAGGGTTCCCTTTTCTCTACATCCTTGTCAACTCTTGTTTTTTTCTGTCTTTTTGGTAATAGCCATTCTATTATTATTAATGACAATAGTCATTTTAACAGGTCTGAGGTGATATCTCATTTCACCATTTTTAATCTTTCTTATTTTCTGATAAATATCATTTAAGGTAAAAATTTCCTAAATGTTAATTGTGTCCTATAAATGCTTATATAATTTTCATTGTCATTCAATTTTAACATTTACTAATTTCCCTAACTATTTCATTTATAATCAAAAGTTATTTCACAGTATCTTAAATAAGTTCCAGGAATCTAAAAACTATGTTTTTTAAAATTGCTTTATAAGTTTATTGAATAATGTTCAGAAAAAAAAAGTTTATCTGGGATTTACTGCAGTTTTCTTTTTGACCAGTTTTTGTTACTAATTATTTTTTCTAAATTTACTTTTTGTTAAAATATCATTTGTATTCTTATGTGTGTAGTTTTATATAGAGATATACACAAAGGTATAAATGCAAACTACAGAAGATTTAAGTCACACAATAAATCTGAACTAATTCTTATACATACATTATTCAAATCTTCTAAGTCATTGCTAATTGTTTTTGTTTGATTGATTCATTGATTTCTGTCAGGGATATGTTAATCTCCACAACAATTATCTCTCTCTTTGTTACTCTCTCTCTCTTTCTTTCATTCCATCAATTATTGCTTCCTATCTTTTGAAGTTTTTCATTCTGTAGGGAGCATATTTGTCCATGATCATTATACTGAGGTCTTTTCATTGGCCTTTACAGTGACTTGGGGCACAGTTGAAAAGTACTGTTCTGTACAGAATGAGCATACAGTCCTTCTTGCTGCCTTGTGTATGCTCTTTGTGCTACAGGCTATGTAATTTAAAGTGGTGGTACTGGTTATACCTTTTAGAATTAGTATTGGCTTTTCTTTTTCTAGATTACATCTTTCTTTGTTCTTCGTGACATTTTTTATAGTGAATTCAATTTTTTCTTCTGATTGAAATTGGGATTCCATTTTCCTTTTAGTGTACATATGATTATTGTATTTATTCATGCTTTTGCATTCATATTCTCTATGTTCTTTTATTTTAAGCCTGTTGCTTATGAACAATATATTAGTGGATCTTGTTTTAGGGATGATAATTGTTATGTGTATTTTTAAAATCTTACTTGCCTCTATAATTAATCAATGATTATTTTTCAGCTACCATTTTTATCTGGGATTGTCTATTTACACACTTCCTTTTCAAGACCAGAATAAACGTTTTACGTTTAAGCTCTTGCTATGATGGGCTGTCTATTATATGACATTGAATCTAATCTAAAACCTATGTTTATCTTCTTTTGGACTATTCAAATTTTCTTTCCCTGGTAATAATAAAACTGTGGTGTAACATGAAACATATTTGGTCTTTGTCTCAAGTTCCTGACATAGAGCTCCTAACGGTTATGCTAATGATTACTTAGGGTGGGTCTCCTAGATGGCCTCAGGATGAGATCAGTCTCCAGAAGGAGCAAGTGATTCCAGAATTAAAGAGCTATAACTTTCAGCCTCACCTACTGACCCATGGAAGGGGATGAGGGGTGCTGGAGTTTGTAAAACTCTTTTGAACAAGATGTGATGAGCTTCCAGATTGCCCATACTTCGCCTTATCCATTTTTTCATCTGTATCGTTTGTAATTATATCCTCTATAATGAACAGGTAAACATAAGTAAAGTGTTTCCCTGAGCTCTATGAGCTCTCTTAGTCAATTACCAAACCAAAGGGGAGGAATTGAAGAAACCCCAATATATAGCTGGTCAGTCAGAATAGGTTACAACTTGGGACTTGCAATTAACATCTTATAAAGTTGTCACTCTGGTCAACATTTCATAAACATTCTAAGTATATAAAATGTAAATTTTGCACATATTTCTTGTTAACCTCAACTATTATTTCTATGACTGTTACTCCTTAAGCCTGCCATACATGATTGAAGTGATCAGAGATTTCTACCAGACATAAGACTTGGTGCTATAGATTTTCTGAAACATTCTTCCCACTGCATATGCATTTTTTTCTGACAATTTTTTCCTAATTTTGAAGACCAGTCAGTTGTTTATTTTTTCCCTTTTATTAAATTACCAATATCTATATCATTTATGAGTATAATTAGTTGGTTCTACCGAGATCTGCTCATGTGATTGAAAGCTAGTTCTTAATTATTTTGAACTCTTACAATAAAATAATATATAGGTAGTCCAAAGTTACAAAGTAACCCCTATTTCATTACAAAGGTTATTATATACTTTATTACATAGTCTCATTACATAGGTTATTGAATAGCTTCTTGTTTTTCCTTAAACAACTTTTTCCACAAGAATATCTTTAGAGATTATTAATAGGACTGTATGATAAATAGGCCAGAAGTACCATCTGATAAATAAAATGAATGTGTTAGCTTACCTTTGTGGAGGGACACTGGGTGACCAAGATCTAGTCCTTCCTATAACATCTACTCGATGAGGGGAACCTGAGGGTGAACAATGGTTTGATGACATAACTTGTTCTGGCACTGATAATGTTGAGCTTTGAAGATCTCGGCCATTGTGTCTATAATCTAAAGGGAGAAAGATTAATAAGTATTATAGTTACCTGCACAGTAAGCCCTTTGTGTATTTTGTACCTTACTAAAAAACATAAAATGTTGGTGAAGTTGAAAGACTTTGAATATATTAAAAGCATAATATTAAGACAAAATTATATTTTAGAAACACGTAAGTTAAAAAGGAATGACAAATATTCATATATTTAGGTAGCTGATATATCTAAGGTGTTGTGTTGCGTAGAGTAAAATTTTTATATATACTTACATATACAGTAAATCTCTTATATACATTTACTTATAGAGTAAAACTTTTAGACAGAGTTAATTATCTTCAACAAAAGGCTCAAATTTTTTCTAAAAACATCTTCATCTCTTCAATAACCCAGAAGAACCTCAAATACTTCTCAACAATCAATAAGATTTAAAATTATTAAGTTCATAAAAAGTTCCTAAAAGTTTATAGTCATTTCTTTGAGATAAACAATATTAGAAAACACTCTGAATAACATGTGCAGTACATATGCAAACTGCTTTGCTATTTCTTATTTTTTAGAGATAGGGTCTCACTATGTTGCTCATGCTGGCCTCAAGAGATCCTCTAGCCTCAGCCTCCTCAGTAGCTAGGACTACAGGCATGTGCTATAGTACCTCACTATGATTTTTCTTATAGTATTTGACAAGGCTGAGATACAGAAGCCTGAGAATAAAAATGTAATAAATCAGTTTATGAAAGAGCCTGGTGATCTGACACATTTAGACAAAGTGTATTAGAAAAGATGCAACTTAAATGAGTAGTAAAAAGCAATTGATATGTGGACAGATGGAGAAAATTAGAAGAAATTCTAAGTTGACAGAAAGACAGCAGTTCAATGTGGGGCAACAGTGGGGAAATAAGCAGAAAAAGTCAGTTTGACTCAAGTTATAGAAAAGCGTCAAAGATTTGTAGTCAAAAGAGCCTGAAAATTTCTGAGCAGGAAGTGATATTACCACTATCGCCACTAGTATCTTCATCATCCTCATTATGGATATTAGTAATTGACCTTTACTATGTAATAGGAATTCTGTCAGGCACTTAACAAAATATTCTGTTAGAACATTTCAGAAATAATTCAAAGAAATGACTAGTTCATATGTGAATTTTTCTTAGCATGTAAATGTTTTATGTATTACCTTAGATTAGACTCCCTGGAAACAGAGATTCAGATACACATAAATAAGTCAAGTAGAGTTTTCAGGAAAAAGGAGACAAGCAGAATAGGGCAAGGTAAGAAACTAAGCAATGATGTAGCCTCAGCCTGATCCCATTGGAAACTCTGAAGCATAAAGGGTACTAGAGTTGCTTTGACTTTGAGGTAAGGGGGATAGGTTTTGTAGTTTTATGATAGCCAGTTTCTGACTGAGGACTTCCAATGGAAAGGTATTTAACCTACTCAGTAAGGTGGCTTCCATTTGTTTAAGGGCAATTCTCCAGAGGAAGAGACAGATATGAGTTGTTAGCTACCAATACTTCAAATACTTCACAGTATCCGGGGGTGAGTAAACCAGGTGGTAAAGAAGATATGAGTGGAATGTCAACAGTGTCCACTGCAGACTACCAAACAGTAGCCACTGAATACAAAGAACATGAACACAGCTGAATGCAGCAAATCAGAGAAATACAGAACAGTATACAGTGCTCATTCATCCTATATTCTTCCTCTTGCTTCCCTTTGATCACAAACTGCCTCAGAAGTACATATTACATGGGTCCTGCATGGTGTTTCTAGATAGTTCCCTTGACACCATAGTTTTGCAGACTTATCCTTCTTTCCATCTATATATACTCCTTCCATCTGAGTACATTCATTTTGTTTACACTTGTATATTTAATGTTTTTATTGCTTATAACTTAGCAAGACTTTTTAATCGTGTTGTCAGTTTTATTTTCAGTGTTCTGTTCTCAAAGCTGATGGGTTTCAATGATCTTTCCTAACTATTTTTCCTAGAATCCCTGATGTTTTTAGTCCATGATCTTGCTGAGCACAAGGGTTTTCAGAAACACATATGCTGTGTAATAGAAACAACTCTACCAAGAAGACGTTATCAATGTTTTTAATTTGAGAAAACGAAGACAAGTAAATCACCTGAGTGATTGAGTATTAAATAACAGGGCTGGGACTTAAAACAAGATCATTCTGACTCCAGTGCTCTCACTGTGTCCTAATACTACATTGTGCTCTCATGATCTAAGTATTAATTCAGAAAGAGAAAGCTGAGAGCAGTATACAATTCATACAGAAGGTTAGAGAGATTTCAGTAGGAAGATTAATTGTTCTTATAAAACTTAGTCCGGTATTGTCCAATAGAACACTAAAATGATGGAATGTTTCTCTATCAGTATTGTCCAATTTGGTACCCACTAGACACACACAACTATTGAACACTTGAAATCTGGATAGTGTTAATGAGGATCTGAATTTCTTAATATATTTATTTTAAATTTAATTTAAATTCAAATAGTCACATGTAGCTAGTGGCTATATATATTACATACTTAGTATGTACATAGAATGTATATAGTACTATAGAAAAAATAGAACTACATATACTACGTACACACTAAGTACATAAGTATTATGGGAAAATCAGAAAAAGAGAGATCAAAATGCCAGAATAGGGGGATATTTTGCAATTTTATATAGGGTGGTCAAGGTAGATAAGACACATTGAGAAGGTGAATTTCAGAAGGAACTGAAGGAGGTGAGGTATTTTGCTAAGTGGATATACAGAGAGGTTCCAAGAAAAAAATAAAAAGCCCCAAGGTAGAAGTGGTTCTTGTGTCGGGCTCCGTGGCTCAGCCTGTAATCCCGCACTTTGGGAAGCTGAGGTGAGTGGATTGCCTGAGCCCGCGGGTTCGAGACCCGCCTGGGCAACTTGGCGAGACCTCATCTCTACAATAAATCAAAAAATCAGTCAGGCGTAGTAGTGCATGCCTGTAATTCCGGCTACTCGGAAGGCTGAGGTGGAAGGATCGCCGGAGCCCAGCAGTCAAGGCTGCAGTGGCTGGGAGCGGCCACTGCACTCTAGTCTGGGT